TCTTTACCTCTATGCCACGAGAGCCGCCGCACGCACTCATGACCATATTATACAGGCGTGAAATATATCCCCGACACACTCGCACTATAAAAATAATATGCCTATCATAGAAGGTTTCTTTGTCTTCCACTGTTATCTTCCATCTTTTATTTTTATTTCTCTTTTATCAAACTCTTTCGGCCAGACACTTTTTAAACGATAATTTGTATAAATGGTGAAAGCTTAAAGCTCACTTGTTAGTATCAAACGGCTGACATCATCCATCTAACCTTTGACTTTATTAGCACAGGGAATGAAACAAGACGCAGAAGACTGTAGCCTAGTGTTCTTATAATAAGATCTAAAATCTCGGTTCACACAGCCCTTCAGGAAAGGTGAATCTTGACATGTATGGGTTATCAGCTCAAGCCTGAGAGAGATTAGAGGCTGCTTCTTCCGCACTTGAGTCGTTCGTGGCTCTTTCTCTTCATAGTTGTCAAGTACCCTAAGCCAATAGCCAGCTACTTGCCGCCCTTAGAATCTATATCCTTCAGGGTCAGAGGTCAATTGATTAGCATACAATAACATGAATTATACGTTAGGGCCTAGCCCGAGGCTACCAAAAGTTCCGGTATCCTCGGCCTAGCCTAAGAACGAGTGCTGCAGACCTCGGAAGTGGGCGGGGCTGACCTGACGAGCCCCAGCCTCTGTGGTCAGTGGAAGAAAACGAAAGTAGGCCAGGCTTAGGGAAGATAATATTATAATAATAGCCCAGACCTACTTACAGCTTTTCTAGTCGATACAGTCACAAACTGTCGCTCTCAGTTCGGTTTGACGCTTGTGGTACCGCGATTCCTGCAGGTTGAAGATTTCCCCTGTCTTCAGGTTCCACGTCAAGTTTTGATTGTGTTGGAAGAATTGATTACAAAACATGGCTGGGGTGTCGAGTGAAACCTTTGGACAGACACAGAGTGGTGAAACAGTCACAAGGTAGGGCCTCACAGTAGTTGTTAGCGCTAATGAAGGAATAGAATAGACGTAAGCAGACTGTTGACATTGTCCGAATCAACGCTGCTGCTGTCCTGCTGATTTGTGAATGTTCGTTGATAATAACTTTACGATATTATTATATAAGTTAATATTATAACTCTATAGATCTAGATCTAACAGGCTAGCCTATAAAGCGGGTCAAGGTATGCAAGAACAATTTAGGAGGCAATCTAGATCTAGAATCTAGATCTAGATATTATTATAGAGGCCTAATGTCAGTGGTGGGTGACTGCTCGAGATCGCACCTCCTCTACCTCTGTGTGACAAGTGACAAAAAGACATAAGAGTGTTGAGGGGAGGGGTTCCATGTTTTCTAGTTTCACTTTCAATAGGTCAACATTAGATGGCCTAGCCAACAAAATAATGCCAATCTCCGGGTATTCTCCACTAAGAACCTACTCATCAATATTGTCTAACAAAGAAGAATGCATAAATTTAGGAATTTTTCAGTAATGTGTCTGTTCTATTAGGCTTTTTGAGTGGCGTCTAGATCTATATAGGGCCTAGAAGATACAGTTATTTAGAATCTTTTTGCCCAATTAGAAATCTATTTAAAAAATAAATTTGCTGAGGTTTTTTTAAAATTTGTTGTTTGTTGGAAAAAGGAATGTGAAAAAGTTTCTCTTATATACATTTGTCGTACTCTTAAATGCTAAATTATCTCAGCGGGTTGTAATTTGTATTATAATGAAAGAAAAATCAACTAAAAAGAAATGTGAAGAATACAGTCAAAAAGTTTCCGTTGTGCTACTGGAGATACAAAAAACATCCAGTGGTGTAGGGCTCTGGTGATGGGGTTATAATATATGTTGCTGACATTGACAGAAGTGTGTGGGTTTTTTTTAATTTTATATTTAACTGTGCAGGCCTATGCCCTTCTATTATTTTGTTCCTTGTAAGTGATTATATTGTTTTGGTTTTTAAAGAAAGTAAAGAAGGTAAAAGTGCAGTGTGATTTTTTTTATGCTTTCATTTTAAATTATTGTTTATTTATTTATTTTTTAAATTAACATAAGTCAAAACATTTTACTTTATGTAAATTCTGGGGTTAGCTTACAATGGTACGCAGTATGAGTTTATCTTGTGTTGATATTCGCTGTGTTTTTAATATATTATGATATTATGAAATCCCTATAGAACCATGATGATATGTCACAATTCTAGTCTGAGTACGTAACAAGTCTTGTAAATGTTGTCCCCACAGGTACACACTGAAGAACTCAAAGGGCGTGAGCGTCAGTATTTTGAACTATGGAGGAATTATTGTAGACATCAATGTCCCAGACAGAGATGGGAACTTTGATGACATTTCTCTTGGGTTTGATAATGTTCCAGGTAAGAATATATTATGTTTTAATTTCAGTCTCTCGGATCTCTGTCTTTCTTCTGTCTGGCGCTGTGGTGTCATAAACGGTCAGCGATGCCGACAGCACGCAGGAACTCAACTCTTGCCCAGGGGTCCTTTAAAAGTGCTGAAAGTGGGTTCCTGAAATGTCCCAGCAGACGTTTAATTTCAGTGAGAGTTTAATTACATCGAAGCAGATAGATGGGTGATGAGGAAAGGTAAGGGTAATGTATCTTTTTTAAAGAGTATTTGAGCAAAGGAATAAATGGAAAACCTTCATTGCCGATGTCTGTTGCACTTGATGATGATGATGATGATGACGATGATGGTGATAATGATGATGATAATTAGCCCCTTGGCCTGGCTCACTCTGAGTTGCTTCCGTCTAGCCTGTAACCACACGTAATCTTAATTAAGACCCTCTTTGTTAGGCCCATTTCCCTGCTAGTATACAGCACCCATTTAATTTTTCTCTCAGTTGCTCCTGAGGAAGCCCACGAGGCGAAACTTTGAGCTGGCTTTATTAAACAAATTTTAAACATTTTATATTGTTATGTTATTTTGTCTGAAATTCAAACAAGACTCTCCATCCTATTCTGCTTTCCAAACAATGATGATGATGATGGCAGCCAAAGCCTACTCTTATCGATTTTAGACCACCAAGGGATCTTTAACGTGCGCAACTTGCACACGGGCCCTCTGAGATTTGTCGCCCTTGTCCAAGAAGGCTAGGTGTAGATCTTTCCTACCAGAAGATCAGGGGTGTGGCTGAAAGACAGCAGTACGAAGAAGCGAAGGAGTAGCAGTAGAATGGCTGCAGAAAGAATCAGGAACCCAGAGGAAGGGGCAAAGAAGGTGAGGGGGGTGGGGGCAGAAGGAGGAGACGAAAGCAAACGACAGAACATTGCTAAAGAGCAGGAAATGAGGTGAAAGGAGACAAATTTAGAGAAGAAAATTTTTCGATCGCTACCTGGATTCGAACCCGGGACCTTTTGAATGAGAGGCCAACACCTCAACCTCTAGGCCACGAGAGCCCCCTGTGGAAGAGATAAGGTCGGTAGATGTTTGATAGGAATTGGGAAGAAGGAGCAAATCACACCTGCACAGACCTCACTGTAGTACACATGAATATCTTCTTCTTCTTCTTCATCGTGTATTTCACATATTGTTGATAGTGCTCAGTGCAGATATAATCTTATTTTTGCACACATTATGTAGGCTTATAAATTAATGTATACACTTTTGCTCACCTGCATAAAATATAGTGATCTTTCAACAACAACAACAAAACAAAACAAAAGATAAAAATAAAGGTCACTTTCTACTCGACTTTTGTGTATAGATTCTAGATGTTGGAGATTCTAATTTTGTTTCGATCTGGGTATAGACTTCAACATTAGTTTGATGATATTGTTGTTGCCTTTTCTATTTTTC